AAGAATCTCTGAATTATCTACTTTGTTGAATTAAATAGGTTAGCTATCCTTTCGTTAGACTAGAAAATCAATCATTTATTCATTCACACATTAATTCGGATAGCTTTTATAGAGTAACTTCTAGGTTCTGGGTCCTGTGCTAGATGCTGGTTACAAAAAGACATATGCCCATACTTTTACTCTCAAGTTGAAAGAAATAGCTTATGGAAGACCAGTATCTTACTTAAAACTACTATAATATCTGCTAAAATTCAGAAATTATTTGTGATGACAGCAGAGAGTTGCTGAAGACTCCAGAAAGGAAAGAACCTAGGGAAGGCAAGCCGCCCTTCTACAGGCATTTTTACCCTGGAGGCATTTGCTGGTTCTAAACTTGGGCAGAAGGATGAAAAACCTGGCTGAGAGTCAGATAAGCCAGCAGAGCTTTGGGCAGACACTTGCAGACCAGCAGAGCACATGGCCAGGTTTTCCCTCATTCCTTCTGCTGAAGACAGTGGCTGTGTGGGGCCTGAAGCCAAAACCTAAGCAGAAAGCCTCTGAAAAAGCAGGGTGGAGTTTTTGTTTTTATTTTTTTAGCAGCTTTGGGAGATAAAATATTAGAGTTTGGAAACTATCAGAGAAAAGGACGCTGCAGAATACACCAAGCTCTCAGTTGAAAATCTGAGAGAATCTAGGGCAAACTAGAGGTAGACTGAGACTTTTCAGGATTGCAAACCATCCTCAGCTCTCAGTGTGGTCACTGACTGTTTAAGGTGATTAGTCACGACTCTATGTGCCTTCTGAAGTGAAGGATACTTCTTCTCTGGAGGAAATAACATCATTTGGACCTATCCACACAGTTTTTTTCCCACATAATGTTCATCACTTAATAAAAGTTACACTTCGAGAGACTGAGGTGGGAGGACCACTTGAGGCCAGGAATTTGAGACCAGTCTGGGCAACATAGTGAAACTTTGTCTCAAACAAAACCAAAAAACTAGCTGGGCATGGTGGTACATGCCTGTAGACCTAGCTACTCAGGGGGCTGAGATGAGAGGATTACCTGAGCCCAGGGTTTGAGGCTGCAGTGAGCTATGATCATGACACTGCACTCCAGCCTTAATGACAGAGTAAGACCTTGTCTCAAAAAGATAAAAATAAAAAAATAAAATTTACCAGGTATACCCATAGGCAGGACCACATGATCCCAAACCAAGTGAAAGAACAGACTACAAAACAAATCTGCAATTAACATGTTTAAGAACAGAGAGGAGAATGTGAACAAAATAAATGATGAATAAAATAACTACACCAGTGATCTAGATCTATAACAGACCCAAACAGAAATTCTCAAAATGGAAAAACAGAACAATAACATTAAAAACTCAATAGACATTAAATAGCAGACTAGAGACAATAAATAGAAAGCAGGATCGGTGAACTAGAATATCTAAACCAAAGTATAGAAAGAAATATAAAAAAAATAAAACCCAGAAAAAAAGCATTAAAACCATATGGGGCTCTTTTCTGTTAAATCAGAAAAGATTTAACATCTGTGTAATCAGAGTGCAAAAAAAGAGGGCACAGAGAACAAGGTAGAAGCAATATTTGAAAAGATAATAGCTAGGACATTCTTAAAACTGATAACAGTCATCAACCTACAGCTTCGAGAAACTCTGCATCCTCAAACAGAATAAACAAAGAAAACGCACCAAGATACCTCACAATAAGACTGGTGAAAACGAACACAGAGAAATCTTAAAAGCAGAAAAAAGAGAATTTTTAATAGAGCAACAAAAAAGATTTACAGCCTACTTTTCTACAGAAATGATGGAAGTCAGAAGACAATGGAGTGACATCTTCAGGTTAAAGTATTAAAAGAAATTAACTGCCAATTTATAATAAATCTATATCAGCAAAAATATAATTCAAAAATGAAAGTAAAATAAAGATGTCTACTAGGCAAACAAAACAAAGAATCTGTCACCAGCAAACCTGCACTGAAAGAAATGCAAGAGTTTCTTAGACACAAGGAAAATTATCCCAGTGGGAAACATGAACTAGTACAAAGTAATGAACACCAACAGAACAGGCAATTCTGTGAATAAATATAATGAACACAGACTCTGTAAAATAATGCTGTAATGTCTTCTGGGGCTTAAATGTAGTAAGAATTAAAATGCATGCAACATAAAGGCAAAAAAACTGAAGCTAAATAAATGTAGTGAACATATTCTAGGATTCCAGTATTAAAAGCAGTAAAAGTGATCATTTATATTATACTGTTATAAGTCAAGGTACATGTTGCCATCTCTTGGGTAACCAATAATAAAGTAATTTTAAGAATTTTATTCATCCAAAAGAAGGCATTAAAGACAGGATGGTCACCACTGCTCTGACACTCTAATGGGAGGAAACAGAAAAGTGACTTTTTCCCTAAGGGCGGGGGTTTTGCCTTAGCAGTAAACATCTGGGCAGAGATAACACTGGTATCTAAAACGATAAAGGTCCTTCTATAGTAAGCACTTTTCAGTTTCCCAACCCAGCCAAGTACCTTTCCTTGAGGCATCTCCATTCATTTATTCATTTTCACTCTCCAGACAAACCCTTACTAAGGGGTACCTGGCACTGTGCTGTGGCTTGGTCCATAGAAATGGAACCAGGAACAAAACCAGTTTTCAACAAACTCACATCCTATAGAGACAGACAGTTACACCAGACCTCTCTCAAACTCAAATGTGCACACAAATCACCTGGAAATACTGCAGGTCTGGGAGAGAACTTGAGATTCTGCATTTCTAACAAGCCCCAAGGTGATGCTGATGTTGTTGACTGGAGAAATGCACCATGAGTTACAACTAAAAGACAGAGTGAGAAGCACTATGATAAAACTGTAGCTCAGAGAGGTGAAATAGCTCACTAAGACTCACAATAACTTGAATAACTGGGATGGGACCCAAGATAGATCTGACTCCAAAGTCTGTGTATGTTCTTTCCTGCCTCCCTTAAGGAAAAGAAATGGGACTGTGGAAACAGGGGAAGTTTCTCAGTCTGATTTGTGCTGTTATGACAGAACACCTGAGACTGGGTAATTTACAAAGAAAAGAGGTTTTATTTACTTCATGGTTCTGCAGGCTGGGAAGTTCAATGGCATGGCACTGGCTTCTGGTGAAGGCTTTTGTGCTGCATCATAACACAGAGGACGGTCAAAGGGGGAACAGGAAAAAGGGACCAAACAAGAGGAAGAACCTCGCTTTACAACAACCTGTTCTCTTGGGAACTAATCCATTCCCGCAAGAGAGAGAACTAGCTCACTCCCACAATATGGCATTAATCTATTCATGAGGGATCCACCCCCATGACCCAAATGTCTTCCGCTAGGCCCCACCTCTCAATACTGCTGCAGTGGAAATTAAACTTCAACATGAGTTTTGACAGGGACAAAACATATCCAAACCATAGCAGGTTGAGTGGGCATTGAGTCCAGCCTTTGGGCAAAGTTGCCCAAGTTGGATCTTAATAGATGAATAGGAGCTTGCCTGGCAAAGAAGTAGGGCAGGGAGAAGGCTCCCAGTGCAGTAACTGGCATAAAAACACAAGGGGCGAGCGTCTGGATTTCAATCTCATTCCACCACCGATAAGCTTTAAAATGGTGGACAACTTACCTAATTGCCATTTCTCAGTTTCCTCAACTATAAAGTGGAGATAATCATAACAGCACCCACCTCATTGGGCTGGTGTGAGAAACGAGTTGGTATGTACAAAGGGTTTCGAACAGTGTGTGGCACAGAGTAAGTCTGATTATTCCAGCAGTTACTCAATATAAGGGATGAGCAGTGGAAGGAATGAGGGTATTTCAGGCAGCATGATTCCTCCTATGCTTGGGACTGGCCTGTCAGGGCAGAGACTGGGAAAGCACTGCAATTATTGCCCAGAAGGATTTCTGCCCTGTTCTGGTGGGGAGGGACCCAGTTGTATTCCCGAGCACACCACCCCAAAGCACTTTCACATCTGTTAGCTCATCTCTTAGTGACTCCAGAGGGCAGCCAGAATCACGTTCTCCATTCTAACAAAGGAACACTGACACCCAGAGAAGTAAAGTGACTTGCCCATTACCTCCTTGGGTATTAGAGACAGGAAGAGTGGTTAATTTTAGGTATCGATGTGATTGGATTAAGGAATATGGAGAGAACTGATAAAGCCTTGCCTCTGGGTGTGTCTGTGTGGGTTTTCCCAGAAGGAACTGGCATGTGAATCAGTGGCCAGGGTGGGCAGCATCCCGTTGGCTGGGGGCCAGGATAGAATGAAAAGGGCTGAAAGGTGATTTCTTCTCTTTCTTTCCCTCCTGGAGCTAGGATACTCTTCTCCCGCCCTGGATGTCAAAACTCCAGGCTCTCTGGCCTTTGGATTCCAGGACTTACACCAGCAGTCCTAAGGGGTTCTCAGGCCTTTGGTCTTGGACTAAGAATTACACCATTAGTTTCCCTAGTTCTGAGGCCTTCAAGTTTGGACTGAGCCAGACTACCAGCATCCAAAGGTCTCCACCTTGCACACTCCATAACTGCATGAGCCAATTCCCCTAACAAATCGTCTCTCACATATCCCTCTATCTATCCTATTGATTATGTCTCTCTTGAGAACCCTGACTAATGCAGGGAGAAACTCCTTACTCCCTGGCCAATACTCTTTCCAGAAAGACCTTGAGCACCACCTCAGGAGAAAATCAATACCCAAGACTTCCAGGGCAGAGTTCTGGGATCTCCTAGCTGGCCCAAAGCTGTCATGTTCACTAACCATTAGCACTGATCAAGCAAAGGGACTTTCATTTGTCAGAGTGACTGCAATGATGTACTTGGTTCTGCCCCGATTTGGAAAGAAAGACTTCCCAAGGAAAGATGACAGGGAAAGGGATACAGGGTTTAAGAGTAAGAGGCAACTGGAAACCAATTTCCTGTCATGACGCAGCCCTTTCCTGGGACACACATGGGCGCACACACACAGGATGCAGCTGGACTTCCCACCTGGTAGACTGCTTGGCCAGCATCGCCACGTAGGTGACCACGAAACTCTGAAACTTAGCCCGTTGTTCCTCCCAGCGGTCATCCACTGAGTAGTAGTTGGGCAAGGGAGCTCCAAACAGGATCTCACTGCGCAGGAGGGAACTCTTCAGATTGTCTGCAGAGAGGCCCTCATCCACGTACCAGTAGAACTCAGGGTGAGTCATGGCCAGCTCCAGGGAGCCTGCAAGGACAGGGGTGGGGACCCCAAGAGTTCAGCTGGTCAGCTCCCACCAACCCTCCTCCCTCAAGGCCATCCAGTCTCATTGTAGCCCTGCCTCCCAGGTTTCTCCCCTGCCCACATCTACTGAAACTGCACCCGAGGCCCCACAGCCACTCTCTGACCCTGCCCTACCCTTTCTCAAGCCCCTCCCTAATTTACCTAAAATGAACCCTACCTCAGTCTTCTTCAATCCCACTCTTTCTCCTGTCTTCCTCTGGCCAGATTCCTGGTTCTCTGTTACCACATCCTAGCCTTTCTCTAACCAGCCTCACATCCGAGCCCCATCTCACGCTTTCTCTACTTTCAACCACAGCAGAACCCCCACCAACCTTCACCTGGGTCTTGGTCCAAACTTCCCTCCAAGCTTTCCTTCAGTTCCCTCTCACGCTCACCTCACACTTGAGCCCAGCCCTTTTCACCTTGCCCTCTGGCCATGCCCAGCACTCAGCTCCAGACTGACTGGGCCCGGACCAAATCTCCCTAAAGAGCTGTATGAAATTAGGTCCTACGCCCCGCCCCAGCATCCCGGCCGCTCACCCCGGATGTCCGCTAGGTCCTGGCCCATGCCATCATAGTAGATCTTGCCGCCCCTCTCGGTGGGGAAAAAATAAGTCATGAGCGAGCTGGGTGGCGAGCAGTAGGAGTAGGAGCCCAGCGGCAGGTCCTTAAGCACCTCGTGGGGCTTCCAGCAGAACTCCCGGAAGCCCGGGTGGTCCATGATCTTGCGCTCGATCTCGTGGATCGTGACTAGCCGCTCACTGGTGAAGATGTTGCGCTCTGCGTCGCCGCGCGCCAGGAAGATGAGCTCGATGCGCCAGTGCGCGTGTGTCTGCGTGTTGGCACTCACGTAAGCGCGCGAGTAGTCCCAGCGCGAGGCTCCTCTGCGGGCACGGCTCTGATTGGCCGCGGCTGCCGCGGGGGGCAGGACGCTGGGCTGGTGCCGCCCATTTTTGCTCAGCCGCTGGTTCCGCGGGTCTTTGGTCTGGTCGGCTGCCAGATCCTCCAGGGGCGGGGTCTCACGCCGAAGTCTCCCGCTCCGATTGGCTGGGGGCTTTTGGGCCGTGGAAGTGTCCTGGGACAGTCCTGGGCCGCGGAGTGAGGCCGCCGGGATGACGCGCGGGGCTCTGGAAACTTGCCGTGAGCGGTTGCTGAGATGCAGCTGCTGCAGTTGCTCTGAGATAAGGCGCTGAAGCGTCTCGGAGGTGAAGTCGGCCAAATCGCGCCGGTTCCGCCCCCAGGATCCAAACTGGGACTTGAGTGCCAGGGTGAGGGCGTCGAAACGCTGCGATGCTTCGTGGTTGCGGATCTCAAAAGCGTTGTAGGAGATGTCAATGTCCAGCGGTGGGTAGTAAAGGAACATGAAGGCTGACAGGGCCATAGGGATGCTGCAGCCCAGGAAGAGCACCAGCCCAGCACAGCACGGATTGGTGAAGGCCCAGCCCAGGGTACTCCAGAAGCCCGAGGCTGGGGGCCGGGAAGGTAAGGGCCAGTGCTGCCAGCAACACTGCCCCACTGCCCCAGGTCGGGGCCCTGGCTTCTGGGCCCCCAGAAAGGCCTCACCCGTTGCTTCTTCTTCCTCCTGCTCCTCCTCTAGCCACACATCCTGCAGCAAGGGGTCATCCTCTGTGTCCATAGCCTGCAGAAGAGGGAGAGGGTCAGCAGGCTGGAGAGACAGGGAGGGGAAGGTGCCCTGTGGTGTAGTTCGCACAGCCCCGGGTAGCAATTCTGTCCACTCATAACCAAATACTAACACTGCAATGGAATTGCATAAAGCACGCATCAACACAACTGAATTTAACCATCTGTAAAAAATGCAGAGAAAATTCCTGTTATTTGCCCATCAACTCTCCCTTTTGGGTCTTGGCTTGAAGGCCAAGGCCACAGAAAAAAAGGAGAATTGCAGACAGAAAGGATGTTTCTCCTGGGGTGACGGATATTTTTTTAAAAAGTCTGACCACACAATTTTTTAATTTTTGCTGCATGCTCTGACACTAGAACTCTCAAGGCCAATGTAAGATGCAACTTCACTGCAACCACTCTTATTTAATGAACAGCTGTAAAGTACCTCCAGGAAGTATCAGGGTGCAAGGGAAAAAGCATGATCTTTGGAATCAGGCAGACCCTGATTTGAGTCCTGGCTGTGTATCAGCAAGGCAGTGAGCCTCCCTGAACTTCGGAGTCCTCATCTATAAAGTAGAAGTGGCCATTGCTGCCTCGTACGACTGTGGGGTCAAAGTGGAAGTACTCTGCAGTCTGTGTAGTATGTTAGTTATTATCTGTCACATAAGGAGATTTCTTTGCTCCCCACTGGGGACTGTAACATGCTCAGCCATTGCCCAGGAACTGTGCCAGGACTAGGTGCCTGTCACAGCTCTCCTGGAGAACCCTCAGCAGCTTCCCACCCCCTCTGGGATACTGCAGCTGCAGCCACTGTTTGTCAGGCTCGGGCCACTTAATATGCAGCTCCAGCAACATCAAACCTTTGGGCATGGACAGGGGCTGGGCATCTGCCTCCCAGAGACTTGAGCGAAGCAGCAGGAAGGCCTGGCAGGAGAGGGCGGGGCTGGGCAACCAGAGGACTCCAGCGGGGTGGTCCAAAGAGAAGAGGCTTTCCGACATCCCCGGCATGGCCTGGCCCCTTGTCCTGCCTGCCCTCTGGACAGAGAGAGACTCATTATCCAGTTAGATGCTAGGCAGTGAGAGGAGGAAGCTAATTATGCTAGTGCTAGCTAATTAATGCTGCCTTTCCTATTAACATTCTCTGGAGTGCTCCATTTCAATTAGATGATCTGTCCAGGAAGAGAGGCTGCTGTCAGTCCAAAGAAAGTAAGCAAGAGGAGGTGAAGGAGGGAGGGAAACAGAGACAGAGGAAAAGAGGAGAGATACAGAGGGGAGAGTGGAATGGTGGGGGATGAAGGAGAGACTGAGATGCAAACAGGGAGATAAGAATAAACAGGAAGAGTGACTGAGGATGTGGGGGAGAGGACGGGTGCGCAGCAGAAGACTTGCAAGAGAGGCCTGGAAGGGGCGGGAATTGCTCCTGTAATATGCAAGATTCCTATCAATGAGATAATTAAACTTCCCATTTGCAACGCCCTAACACGAGCCTGCCAGCTTGCCAAGGGGATGGTAACTGCTCTGAAGCCCAATTTGTATTCGCACTGGAGGCAGCTCAGACTGACCCCATCTCCAAAGGGAAAAACCAAGTCTGCACATGGAGGTGAGGAGTGTGGGAGCCTCTGCCCCATTCTTGGCCTCAGAAGAAGAAAGCTGATGGGAATAAGGTGGAGAGGGGAGGGGCCGCGTTTGCAGTTTTCTGGGAACTAAGACCCATCCATCCTGCCGTGCCTCAGCCTGCCTTTGGGGCAGTACAGTTTAGTGCGTTGGTGTTGCAGGGGGTCAAAGGCCAGGATTCTGGGTCACAGCAACACTCCTGGGTGATCTGAAGGCCCCTTGATTCCATTGCGATTCCACCAGGAATGTCACTCCCTTCCCCCATGGGTCCACACTGAATTCATCATTCAAGTCCTTGCTCAAATGTCACCTCTGCCAAGAAGCCTTCCTAGATCTGACCCCCATTCCCCCGCCTGCCAGCTGCCTAAGCTTCTCACCATCCTTACTAGATTTTGCCTGGAGGTAAACATTACTGCAGGGAAGGGACGGAGAGGCAGTGGAGCAGAGTATTAAGAGCTACGGCTTCTTCGGAGGCAGACAGACTTGGGTGCAAGTCAAGATTTAGGGCAGGTAATTTAACTTTGCTGAGCGTCAGTCTTCCCATCTGCAGAATGGGTGTAACAGTGCTCACCACCAAAATTGTCGGAAGAATGGAGTACACAACAGACTGAGCACAGTGCCTGGTGGGTATAAGTGCCTGGGAAATGGCAGCTACTATTCTTTTACATGCTCCTTCCCTCCAAAGGCTGGAACCCCTAGCAGATACATGGAGCAGGCTGTGTTTTCCAAAGATGGCTGCAACGATATCTGCCATCTCAGGTGCTTATCTCAGGATGTGACTTTGACACTCCTCCCATCAAGCAGGCAAGGCTTCCATAGTCACCAGCCCACCCGGATTCTAGGGGAAGGAATGCAGACATTAGGAAATAAAGGAAGATGCGGCTTCCTCCTGGCACTCTTTGGATGCTCATCCTTGGGATCAGCCACCATGCTAGGAGAACGTCCAAACTAGCCCATACAGAGATCACACATAGGACTTCCTGCCGACAACCAAGCTGACAGCCAGCATCAACCACCATGTGATGTGAGCATGTAAGCAACGTTGATGCAGATAATCCCAGCCCCCAGTCATTGAGTAACCCCTAGCCTTCCAGTCTTTCTAGCCGAGGCCCAGATACCAGAGTGGAGCTCAGCCATCCTCTCCTGTGCCCTGTCCTGACCCACAGAATGCTCAATAGTTGTTATACATCTCTGCGCTCTGGGATGTTTTGATACATAGCAATAGCAACTGGAACAATTGCAGTGAAGCCTTATTCTGTATGTGTGACTCCATGCCCTGCAGACAGCATTTGCTGGATTTAAGTGACCAGAAAATTGGGCCCAGCCACTGCACCTCCTGGTGAGAGCCCTACAGGCCGGTAGACATGAGCTTTAACGGAGCAGGGACTTAGTTGTCATACTCCCTGCTGGGTTCTCATGGCCTAAAATACTGTTAGGGAGGAGGGCAGTCAGATATTTGTTGAGTGAAAGAAGGAAAAGGAGTCTCCGATGAACGTGGGTTAGGTATTTGATAGAACTTGCCCCTGGACAAGTGAATTAACAGCATTTGCAGCGACCTGGATGAGACTGGAGACTATTATTCTAAGTAAAGTAACTCAGGAGTGGAAAAGCAAACATTGTATGTTCTCACTGATATGTGGGAGCTAAGCTATGTGGACGCAAAGGCATAAGAATGATACAATGGACTCTGGGGACTTGGGGGGAAGGGTTGGAAGGGTGGGAGGATGAGGGAGAAACAACTACAAATGGGGTGCAGTGCAAAACAAATTGTAAATTTGTTTTCCTTTCTGATTTGATGGGAAATGATTAGCAATGCACCCTATTTGATGGGCGATGGGCACACCAAAGTCTCACAGATCACCATTAAAGAACTTACTCATGTAACCAAATACCGCCTGTACCCCAATAACATATGGAAAAAATTTTTTTAAACAATTTTTTTTAAAAGAACTTTCCCCTGGACAGAAAGAGCAACAGACCCCAAGCCACATAAGCATCGGCAGGGGATACAGCTTCCTCCGGGTTGGGAAGGATCTGGAAGACTGTGAAATGGACAAGGCAGGAAATGGATTTGATGAGTTCTTGATCTGTCATGCACCCTCCCCACCCCATGCCTGCCTTCTCAGTCTGCCCCCAAAACGAAAAGTGCCACAAGGGAAACCACACCAGACTGGTAGGTGGTCAACCCACATGTCTCCAGGTTGGGCTCAGCCACCAATTTTCTGGGTAGCCCTGTCTGTCCCACCCCTCTTGGGGCCCTGTCTCCCCTATCTCATAGTGGGATGTTAAAAGCCCAGGTCCTTCCAGCTGTGCCACCCCTGGAGTCTCCAAGAAACCCCAGAGAGCTAGGCCTTCCCACCTCCCAGTCTGCAGTCTGAGTAAGACAGGAGCCGTCTGAGAGTCCCTAGAACCAAACCGAGGCTGGGCTGGTAGGGTGTCACACCAATGCTCAGCTAGCACCTCCCTCTGCAGGCCCCTCCACTAGGTAGGATGGGCAGCAAATTGTAAATTTGTTTTCCTTTCTCAAATGATGGGAATTGATTAGCTTATCGAGGAACTCCAGCTGCTCTGTGGAAGGGGACGAAGGTGGTTCCTGCAGTAGCTGTCATTGATTCAGACAAAGCCCGGAGTAGGACTGGGAGGACTGAGGGAGTGGAGTTCAGTGGGGTAGGGTGGGGGCTGCGGTCAGGCCTTTATGGACCCTGGGAATGCTCTCCTTCTCAGTGACCAGTGCTTTCTCTCTGCCTGTGTCTCTTTCTCACACATACAGGCACCCTCAGAGGTTGTCAAAATGTAAACTCTGGGCCTTGTTGGAGCCCATGAACCCAGGTGGACGCACATCCATGTAATCAGATTGTCCTCCTCTTGGGAAAGGCAACAGGGAAGCCACTTAAAAGGGAACAAGAGGCCCTAGGGAGCCTCAAAAGGAAAGACCTCACCCAGTTTCAAGCCCAGGCTTGTGGCAACCCAAAGCCATATCTGCAGTCAAATCACAGCTTTATCACAGAAAAACAAAACATATGCCCATTAATAGCAGTTATCTTTTTGGGAGGATTATGGGTGATTTTTATTTTCTCCTTTGTACTTGTCTGTTTCTAATTTTTCTGCAATGATCAGGTACAGCCTTTTAGAATCAGAAATAAATGTTATTTAAAAATAGAATATTTGTGTATGTGTGGGGAAGGGATTTTCCTAACAGCCTTCAACTCTGAGGAATTCCTATAATAGGCAGGGGAGGAGGGCTCTGCCCTCCAAGGAGAGAAAGCAAGGAGAGTTGGCTAAAGTTGTAGCAGGAGACAGCCAGTAAGAAAGCAGAAGGACCTTGGACAGGGGGCGTGGGCAAACGCCCTGTGGGTGACCGAGTGTGGAATCACCTATTCCCGAGATGGAGAGGGGGATCGT